AACTATAAGCAGATTAGACGTTAGATTTAAACCATTTTTTTTGTTTCTTTGACCATACTATGGACATGGTGAAATTGTCTTTACAATTACTCCGGACGGTTGTATCTTTTGCAGTCTCACTGCCTCAAGCGGTGGCGGGTCTTTTCCGCTGATGCTGAGTGGGACGCGGCACCATATATTTACATAAATTATCTCTCGGTGGTCTGAAGAACAAGCCTCAGCATCCAGCATTGTGTGCAGAAGAGACGTGAGAATTACTCAACTATTTAAGAGCTGACGAAAGTCTTTACCAGATTGTGTGAAGCGCGCAAATGCTGCCTCAATCGTTATGTAAACGATCAACAGGAAATAAGCGCTTTGCAGAGCAGTGATCACACCGCGTGTTATATGGGCAGATGTCAGACTAACAGCCGGCTCTGCAAACATCTTTACTGCATTTAAAGTTTGCAAAAGTTCCAAGATTGAGGCTGTGAAATTCGGTTGTTGGAACTGGACAAATTATACTCTAAACATATCCAGGCCACACACAGATAAATAAAAGCATGAGATGCGACCACTGCAAAAATCGCCTCTGGGTCAGATCCTGTAGGAAAAAGGAAAGAGATCTTCTATGTTCTCTACGGTCACATTGTATTGGATTACTTCAGCAACGTATTGAGATGTTCCCATTGCAATATGTTTGCTTGTGGATAAGTGTGGAGCAACCAATTCACCATTGGAAGGTCCTAAGTAACATCCAGACTGCAAGGACACCTTTGCAGACACATGCCCCCACCTCCCCTGCCTGACACCCACCAAGCACCACTTTGCTTTAAACTACACAAGTGACAGTTGACCAGTTGGCAGGACACCAGGCTAAGTGTCCTTTTATGAAACAGAGATCAGAAGCGATCCTAAGGATCAATGTTGATCTCCGATCATTAGTGGTTTAGGAAACAGAGATGATCAGTGGAGAGAACATGTTCCCCACTGATCATTTCAGCACACAGATGGTCAGTATAGGAAAGGAGCGATATCTGCCCTTCACTGGCGATCTGTGTTCTCCCTCCAGATTCTCCATCCTAGAGCTGAAGAATCGGAGGAACCTCAAACGAAGCAGCGGTAAATTGATCTCTTACTGTAATCTTGCGAGATTATATTAACAGCAGCTGTTTTCCAGTGTTCAAAGCGTTTGGAGATCGCTTCTCTCCTCATTCGGAGAAGTGATCTACACCGCTTCATAAAAAGGTATTCAGAGGAGAACTCTCTCTTCTGAGAATGCCGGAGAACTGAGCAGCGGTCATTTATGGCTGCATGATAAAAGGACACCTAAGCGCGCAGCCCTCAAGCAAAGAAGCCTTAGATATCCTGGTGAAGACTAGTTGGATTAGTGGTCTATAGTGGGGGACTGTCGTCTTTCATGGTTTTCCTCTGCTTTGGTTTCAGGTAAGTTTACTACAGGTCGTGGTAGGTTCTCATAGTTGGATCAGTGGTTGGGGTTTAATTTAAATGTTAGGGTTGTATAGAAATACACTTTTCTGCACTCAAACTATATCCTTATCAGCATAACAGGATGGTGCAAGCCATTGTTCCCTTTTGCACTCAACAGCTAGGTTGCAGGAAGCAGCATCCTGCTCAATGTTCAAAATCAGGGGCAGACTAACCATTTGGAAACTCGGGCACTGCCTGAGGGCCCGGTGTCAGTAGGGGGCCCCATGAGATGCCCCTGGTACCTTTTTCATAGGCTTTTTTGAGTTTGGGCAAGGACACAGGGGCCCCATGATCCCCTATTGCCCGGGGGCACCATGAGTTGTCAGTCCGCCCCTGTTCAAAATGGCTGTTTGTATAAAACGTCAGCATAAAATACCAGTTAAAATTAATAGTGTTATAAAGCCAGATCCATCATAAATGAAGAATTATTTTTGACGTGGTAAGTGCTACTACTTTATGTCATCTAACCACGAGGGTTACGGTTAGGATTAGAGATTACGTTTTAGGTTAAATGTCCGTAGCATGATCTGGGGGTAGTTGTGTGCTGTTCCTGGATCATAGTCTATGATTAGTATGCAGAAATCTGGCCCTTGTCATCCCAAAAAACCCAACATTATTATCTCTGTCCGATTATTGGAACAGGCCATAAGTCCCACTTTTACCAGTTGGGCTGGTAAAGTTACAAACTGTAGGCAACAGTTGTTGGGCATTTACATTCTGGAGGAGCCTATTCACACTGAGCTTAAAAAAAGCTGCTTCTACAGGAGTTTTGCATTTTGCCTGTAGACTCAGCTCATTGTTATTCTATGTGTCCATGCACATTAGGAGGTTTACAGGTATATTTTAAGCTCAGCATTTAGAGGCAGAATGAAAAACCCTTCCGGTTTGTGTTTTAGTGAGGAGTTTTCTGGCAGAAAAAAGAATGCTCCTAAACATGTCTAAACATTTTTACAAAACGTTCTATACAGTGCCTTGAAGTTACCTGTTAGAGTCTGCAATAGACTTGAGACTGGGATGGAGGTTCACCTTCCAGCAGGACAATGACCCTAAACATACAGCCAGAGCTACAATGGAATGGTTTAGATCAAAGCATGTTCATGAGTTAGAATGGACCAGTCACAGTCCAGACCTAAATCCAATTGAGAATCTGTGGCAAGATTTGAAAATTGCTGTTCACAGACGCTCTCCATCCAATCTGGCAGAGCTTGAGCTTATTTTGCAAAGAAGAATGGGCATAAAATGTCCCTCTCTAGATGTGCAAAGCTGGTAGAAACATCCCCAAATAGACCTCCAGCTATAATTGCAGCAAAGGTGGTCCTACAAAGTATTGACTCTTGGGGGCTGGATACAAATGCATGTCACACCTATCACATATTTATTTGTAAAAAAATGTTAAACCATTTATCATTTTCCTTCCACTTCACAATTATGTGGACAATTTCAAGGGGTATGAATACTTTTTCAAAGCACTGTACATTATGGACATTCTTTGTTTTTATTTTCTATGAGATAATGGTCATTGATTTTCCTTCCACTTCACAATTATGTGCCACTTGGTGTTGGTCTATCACATAAATCCCAATAAAATACATTTACAATTTTGGTTGTAACATGACAAAATGTGGAAAATTTCAAGGGGTATGAATATTTTTCAAGGCACTGTATCTTAGGGTGCCTGATACCGAAAGAGGAAGGAAGCTGATAACAGTGTGGAGACCAGGAGATAGAATTTTCTGTGTTTTGAAGGTATGTTCTCACCTGCAGTCTTCATAATGGAATTTGAACAGACATACCTATGCTCTGATTAAAAGTCAATATAACCAAGGAGAGCAGAGGCGCGGACATCTGAGAAGACATATACCTACCTCTGTCTCTTCCTAATGCTTGATTATATAATATGGTTTTGCTGATAGGTTCACTTTGAAAGAAATGTTTACTTTTGTAGCTGGGTTCTGGCTATATCATTATGCCATTCAGGGACATTTACAGATGAGACTATCATTAATCCTTTTCCCTGTACTGGTACAGTACTGGGACTGCTGCTTCATTTCCTTTTAGCAGAGTGTATTCAGTTTTTCTGACAGCAGAGGATCTTGGGACCTGTAGTCCTATAGCCAATACATCCTATATTCCTGAGTGCTGATTGAACTACAACTACTAGAGAGCTGGGGAACGAGACGGATGCTGGGAAAGCAGATCTATTCTACAGCAAGGAACTGGCTCGCTCTCTTGGCGTGGTATTCAGAGCTGAACACAAAGGGACTGCCTACTGATGCGGGGCTCTGCACATCAGTTCAGCACAAAGGAGAGGTCGATTACCACACCGGGATTGCATCAGGACTGTCCCTGTCCGAGCTGAACTTAAAAAAACCGAGGAGCTTACGAGGAGTTCTCTGTATTAACAACGTACTGTTAGTACAGCGATCTCCCCGCTGAACTATTATTGTGTTCTGTGTCCCCCCCACCACCAAAACACACCGGTCAGTGCTCACACCCATTGGCCACCAGCACTGATTGGATGATGGTTTTCCAGCATGCTCCTTTGACAGAAGCAGATCTCATGAACAAAGAGCTATACACACAGGCCAAATGTCGTCCGGTATCTACTGTACCAAATGATTTCAGCCACTATTCGGCCAGTGTGTATGACGCTTTATGCAAGTCTGTAAACATGCTGCTGGATGCTGTTTTTGCCATTGCAGCTGTTCCACTTTAAAATGTATGCACATACAAAGATTTTTGTTTTATTAGTAAATTGGGAAACCGCCTATCAATCTATTTATTTATTGAGAGAGAGATACAAAATGTGAAGAGAGGAAACCTCTACTAAGTAGGGGAAATTCCTCCTTAGACAGCTGATACCAGAACAGGGATCCTCAATGGAAGATTCTCCCTCTATTTCTGTTCAGGTGAGAACTTTGAATTGTTAGATTTCCTATTACGTCTTGTTCTGATGACAATTGCCTCCAGGGGTAATAGAAAAGGTGAATCTATTCAGCATGGGCACAGTCAGCAACAAAATCTGACAGAGGTTTTAACATGTCCACACTCTATCCAAAACCAAAAAATGTTTTGGCTAGAGATGCATTTTACAGCTGAATTTAAATTTACATATTTCACCCTTCCTTGATTCCTCCTTTTCCCCTCATCAACATGCTAATTAAATTTTTATATAAAACCTTTCCATTTTCATTACACACCTTCTTTTAGACCCAGTGATGTCATCACTGGGTTTTTGAACCTCTCTATGTAATGCAAGCAGATAATGATGGCATGGGGAGCCTATACCCTGATGCAAGCAGTGGGCTGATTCTTAGGAAGAGTTTTGCAAATATAACACCCTGCTATTAGGATGCAGAGCATTCACTCTCTGTAGAGTAGCCCCATGGAACTTGTATGCTGAATCACCAGACTTTGTTAAAGTGTTAATAAACCCACAACAGTAAAATCAGTCTGTATATGCAGTAAAGCATGCTTGTTATACTCACTGTTGAACCTAAGGGGTTAATCCTCTGCATTGTGTAAAAAGGATGTTTAATACTGTCTTCTCTGATCATCCCTTTCTTACAGTGTCCCCCTCTTATTTCCTGATAAGACATATTGTGTGGAGTCACTCTGCACATGCTCAGTTTGGCGTGTATTGCTAGAGAGGTTTTCTTTAACCTTGGGAGAGTGCATGTGATCAGCACAGGGCCAATCAGCACTGTCCAGACAAAGGTCATGGGTCCTGCATTCTCCTAGAGCAGAATGAAAACTCCTCCTACAAGCTTTAACCAGTGTTTTGCTGAACACTGATAGAAGTCACAAGACTGCTCTAACTGCTGATGAGAAAAGGTATTTAGAAGTTTATATCTACTATAATAATTGCACTTCCATGTTCTGTGTACTGTGGGAGACCGGATATAGTGAATGCAGGGCCCAGGGTTTAGTAGCACGTTAAGGAATGGTGTAGTAAAGAACTACATTTCCCAGAGGAGCTGGTATATGGGCGGGGGCATATATATATATATGAAAGCCCGGGAGATGAGACATGAAGTGAGAGGGGAGAGATCTGGAGAAGCGGAGTGCGCTGACTGTAGGGGGACCGTACAAGGCCGTGGAAAGGGACGGTGGCAAGCTGAGTCTGCTGGTCGCTGACCTTGCCACATCGTGGAGAAAGTTAATCTGCTAGAAGGTGACCGAATGGAATGCTACAGGCGGGACTGGAGAGTGTGTGGAGGCCTTATCGAAAGAGAGAGTTCGCCAGACGCCATCCCTCAGATGAGGGAGTCCCAAGCATTAGCAAGGACAAGGAACACTGACACCTGCTCTACCTTTGCTCTTCTCCTGCACACAGTTTCAGACCTTTTGAAAATTATGCACAATTTCGAGACACCTCTAGTGGTTTTACATATTGCAGAACCATCGACGCACATAGAGCACCCTACATTAGAGATCATTTATTTTTGCAGAGTAAACCACATGGTGCCCAAGGTTGTAATGTTGCACATTGAAAACCTATGACATTGTGTAACAAACAATCAGGCTTGCTCTACCTGCTGGCTTGTGCACATTTTATTGGACAATTTTTTAGTCATGTTTTTAAAGAACCTCTGAATAACCCAGAAGGCACCCCAGGGGCCTAGGCAACCTGGTTGAAAAAGGCTGGTTTATTGTCTTAGCAATACTTCTCCTAGGGGCAACAGCCCCAGGAGTACTGGAACCATCCTTGATGAGGAAAGAATAATCTGCTTGGGCCTCCTGTCTGTTTATCCTCTCCCCAGCCACATTCTGGATGTTCCCTTCCAGGGATTGGCTGGGGTATGGTAAATACTCAGCTGATCATTTGAATATCCTTCCCTGTCTCTGTGGCCCAGGGGCTGGATGTGGCCCTGAGCTTGCTTTTATCCAGCCCTTGGGACACTATTTCTCCAACTGACACCAATTATGGGCCACTATTCCTCCCACTGACACCAATGGTGGGGCACTATTCCTCCCACTGACACCAATGGTGGGGCACTATTCCTCCCACTGACACCAATGAAGGGGCACTATTTCTCCCACTGACACCAATGGTGGGGCATTTTCTACTCCCACTTGCCACAGGCTGGCCCACCTAAAGCCTGAAGTACAGTAAACTGGCCCCTTGTTTATAACGTTTGGAGACTACTGCCTTAGAAGACAAGAGCCACTCCTGAAGGAGTAGAGAGTCCAGGATATACAGTATATTTTGGTGGTTTTTGCTGAATTCTTGCCATTTTGTGCATATGAGGTTGTCCTCCAAGTTGTTTCAGTTCCATTGGACATCCAATAGACCCCATCCAAGTTGTTAACCCCTAATAAAACAACAAAAACCAAGCTCATGGACTGCTTACTGACTCTGGATGCAAGAAAATCTGTGTTGCCTGGCTGTGCAGAGCTTAGCGGCACCCAAAACTCAGCGACCCTCAAGAGGGTACTGCTACATACATACAATGGGACCGTGGAGAATGAATGTGGCCATCTACTATCAGGAAATGAATTTGGAGATTTGAAGAAGGCTGACAGCAAAAGAAGGACCTTTTTTGAATTAGGAATACAGGAAATAGGAATTTAATTTTTCTTTTCAAACCACAGTGTCACTTTAATTGCGAGGAGTCTAACTGCAGCCCGACAGCAAACTCCCGCCCCTTACATAACAGAATATTTTTGTGAAATGTATTTTTGTCATCTCCATTTCACCATCATTTGCGGTCTTTGTCCCAGGCGGCGCTTTGATTGTCACCTTTGTTCCATGTTACAGCCTGACAAAGTGAAGATTCCTCCAGCAGCAATTCTTGTAGTCAGCAAAGTTCAATCAGATACAATTGTGTCCGGCGGGATGGCGGGATGCGTTGTGTGCAGCTGTGACAGTCAAGGGGTCACCATGTAAGTGGGGGGGGGGGCAGAAGACAAAACAACTTTGCAATGTATGGAGCAGAAATAAGAACACAATGACAAATAATTGCAGACAAAGGCAGACGGTTATAAATACAATTCAATCAACTTAAAACAAGTTGTGTTTCTCAAGATGCGTTTAACTGCGACGTGGAGGGGAGGCGCACTAAACAAGCATACTCAGCACCCAGGAGAAGGGGACAAGAAGACAGATCTGCAATGGGGGCAGCACATAACTTTTAGGTAGAGAAATATAACTTCAATAAGAACTTTCATATGATGGGTTTCTATTTATTAGTTGACTAGATTTATATGTAGCGTTTACTCCTGAAGGAGCCACTTGATGTGTTGGGTCCCCTATTCTTGTGCCCATGACTCTGTGAACAACACCACACATTGACACCTGAACAAGTGGGGAATGTTTACTGCAAATGTCTTTATATACCCCCCAATGGCTCAAGGTGCATAGACACAAGGCATGCCATAGCAATTGGTTAAGTAACAGCAATAAGTACTGTATATTGCAACAGTCTAAACAAAGAAGAAATATACTGTGATGGTTAAACAGTAAGAGAACTATACTGCAAAGTGCAAACAATAAGAAAAATATACTGCAACAATTAAGCAACAGAAGTAATATACTGCAGAAACAATAATTGTTATAGAACACAACCTCTTCTGAAACTTGTACTGGACAATCCTAACTAGGGGAAGATGTACTGTATAGGTATAGCACCTTCCCAGTTAGGCTGTTAGGTTAATTTAGTTACTGATTGGAGTGGTTGTTTCCAGTTGGGTTGGTAAGTAAATTTCATTTTTGCCTGCACTGTACTGAGTGGAGTGATTGTTGATTCTTTTGGTCTGCTCAGGGTTCCTGAGCTGAGAGTTTGATTGCTGCCCCCTACCTTTGGAAGGAGCTTCCAGAGCACAGGGAAGGATATTCAAATGATCAGCTGTGGTAGGCCAGCCTGTGGCAAGTGGGAGTAGAAAATGCCCCACCATTGGTGTCAGTTGGAGGAATAGTGCCCCTTCATTGGTGTCAGTGGGAGGAATAGTAGCCCATAATTGGTGTTAGTTGGAGAAATAGTGTCCCAAGGGCTGGATAAAAGCAATCTCAGGGCCACATCCAGCCCCTGGGCCACAGAGCACAGGGAAGGATATTCAAATGATCAGCTGAGTATTTACCATACCCCAGCCAATCCCTGGAAGGGAACATCCAGAATGTGGCTGGGGAGGGATAAACAGACAGGAGGCCCAAGCAGATTATTCTTTCCTCATCAAGGAAGGTTCCAGTACTCCTGGGGCTATTGCCCCTAAGAGAAGTATTGCTAAGACAATAAACCAGCCTTTTTCAACCAGGTTGCCTAGGCACCCTGGGATGCCTTCTGGGTTATTCAGAGGTTCTTTGACAACATGACTAAAAAATTGTCCAAAAAAATGTGCACAAGCCAGCAGGTAAACCTGTAAACCAGCAAACCTGATTTTTTGTTACACAATGTCATAGGTTTTCAATGTGCAACATTACAACTTGGGCACCATGTGGTTTACTCTGCAAAAATAAATTATCTCTAATGTAGGGTGCTCTATGTGCGTCGATGCTTCTGCAATATGTAAAACCACTAGAGGTGCCTCGAAATTGTGCATAATTTTAAAGGGTGCCTTGACTGGAAAAAGGTTGAGAAACACTGCAATAGACTACTGTTTGGGCCTCAGTATTTGCTGTGTTAAGGGCCTGAAGAGGACAGTTGAAAAAGGGTAGGCGTGTTGAAGGACACCGCTTCAGAGTCCAGTTCTGAAGGATGACTTTACAATTTCTATCATTATGGATCCACCCATGGAGACTGGGTGGCAGACAGCTCCTGGGACACTGTGAGTAATGGCCTTACTGGAGATTGATAGTTGTGTAGAAGCAAAAGGTAACCAGTTAGTAATGGCTGCTCTATGGTCTACAGCTGTGGGACTCAGATATGTCAACCTTCCCCAGCTAGCTCCAGAGAAGCCACTACTGAGAGACCAGAGAGAAGCTTGAACTTTTGCTGTTTTTGGAGTGTCCCGTGTCCCTTCTCCTGTTAAAGTTCTTCTGCAATAAATCCCAAAAAAGACATCCCCTTGACTGAATTTGAATTGTCAGTGTGTTGGTGTGACTAGTGGTCTCTGTACTATGTATGGAGAACTGTCTGTTTCCAGGGCCCGTGAGTGCTGCATATATATACAATATATACAACAACAGTTCAACAGGCAGTTATTTGTTACCCTATCCCCTGTGCTGGCCAGCTCATTGGGTCCCAACTAATATGGTGGAGCTCTCCAGGTAGTGTTCCTTTAGGAACTGATGCAGGCACTGCCTCTGTATTTCCTGCAGACAACTCTGTTCCTCTTTTATTAAGATAAGGTTGGCAGGCGGCCTCTCACTACACTGTCAGCAGGAGGGATCTTCTTCTGCTCACTGGCAAAGTGCACCCCAGTCATTCTCCTTGGCATCCGGCCCCTCAGGCAGCAGGCTCAAACAGCATCCAGGGAGCCTACCAATGTTCCAGAATGGCTGCCACTGTGTCTCTTTCACTCAGGGGCAGTGGTCTCATTGTAGACTCAGTTTTTCTGTATCACATCTTTCATTCCTTTCCTAAGCCTGGGAAAGTTACAACACTCCCCTACTCTATTCCACAGTGCCCAAAGAAATATGTGAATATGTTTAGCCTGTGCCTCTATATCTAATATAAACTACGCTTGAAATGTAATATCAATCATGTGAATATTAACCAATAAAGATGGCCACAAACAATAATTGTGTTCCCACAACAAACAATAAATATATAATAAACAAATATATTGTTGCGCCTTCCCTTTAAATGCTCTTACACCTTTTACACATTGTGCACATCAATGTGCAAAATGAAAAAAAAATATATATATATATATATATAAATATTTATATACAGTCATGGCCGAAATTGTTGGCACCC